AATATCCTTGTGGCTTAGTGGTTAACACAACTGCCTAATATATAAAAACAGCCCAGGTTCGAATCCCACTAAAGGTATGGCTAGCTGATGAGAGCTAAATAGCTTAAAATAGATCTATTCTAGTCTCCCTTTATTTATTTATCAGCACAAATGCAATATATATATGCTTATATTTTAAATATATATTAGTATATAATTGAGTTTTCACGCTGTTGTAGCAGAAGATGAAATAGGGCACAATGTATTTAAATAAAACTAAAATTGATTGGTATGTGGTCGTTTAGAGACAAAAATGACTATTGCACATAATCCATTGATCAGAAATAGATTTACTTTCCTGTCTTCACAAAGCATTCAACTATGAGTAGTTATTACATATTAACTTGTTTTAGTCTTCACTATCTCCATATCAGATAAAAAACTTACCTTATTTAACAGATTAATTATTTTCCCAATTTCCCAAATTATACCAATCAACAATTAGTATTTTGCACAAAACTGAATTTAGTTCTCTTCTCAGAAGTAAAACTGAAGAGAAATAAATTTGCCAAGAAGTTGAACAGCAGCAGGTTTTGGGGATGTAACTTTCATTTCCATTCGATCACAACCCTTTGTGCATTTCTTTCTGTGCAGATTGATTTTTGGTACCCAGATTCGGCACTGCATATAGTCAAACAGATGGAAGTAGATTTCCATGTCAGTGCTGCGCAGAGTAAAATTGTTGAAAGACTCTTGAAACAGAATGGCATACCTTATCAGTAAGTTAAACTTCTCTATTTTTCAGGTCTGTGACTCTGCACTATTGAAATTGTTTAGAGATTTCATGCTCCCAGGATATGTCTATGAAATATATATTCATGAATCAGTGTGTTTCAATTAATTAATTATCTCTTATTAGAAAGTAGTGCTCTTGGATAGGAATGATAAATTGCTCTTCTTCACTTTAGCATCCTTGCTAGAAAAAAAAAAGCAATTCTGGATTGTGCAAAAAAGCTCATTCACAGATAAGAGTATTGCGGCAGGATCAACGTGCAAAATTACCTGTGAAGTCAATATGAAATATATCTGAAAAGAAGCATGGCTTCTTTAAAAAAATTATCTGGCCTGCTTCTAACAAATACAAATAATTCAAATACCACTGAAAACAATGAAACAAATTTGTCACATCTAAGCCTATTGCCAATTTGAGGATCAGATTTAAGTACGCTGGGCACCATGAAAGTTGTACAAAATCCATGCAGTTTGCATTGATCATTATTGTCTGTTTAAATAAATATACAATGAATCAGTCTAAAGTAAATCAAAGTCTGTAGATAACATTTTTGTTGGTGTGGATTTGTCTAAATGCAGGATATTTCTTGCTGTTCTGCATTGTTTTCTTTACTGTTTTAACTTGATGTAAGCTGTTCAAAGTCATTCTGGAGTCAAGTGCAGAAATTTCTAAAATGCAGAAATAAAATGAGCTCAGACAGAGTATAATTTTCTGATTATTATTTTTCATTGTGTAGAATAGTATTTGACAACCTACAAGAAGACATTGAAAAGCAGCTTGATGGTGACAAGAACGATGGGCATAGCTATGAAAAATATAACGAATGGGACAAGGTAAATAATTTACATTCTACAAAGGAAACATTCTTCAGCAGAAAGAATCCCAATTTATCAGAGACACTAGTAAGGGGGTGTGGTGACACAACAGCTTAATGACACTGGATTTGTCAGCCAGAGATGGTCGGCACTCCAGCAGTTTGACACATGATACCACAAGGCATAGTGAGCTCCTGTCATTTGCCCCTAGCTCCTCCCCATCTAGCAGTTCAAAAGTATGTAAAAATGCAAGTAGATAAATAGGTACCACTTCAGTGGGAAAATCTAGCAGTGTTCCATGCAGGTGCCGGACCTGCCTAGATTCTTCCAAGGTTATCGGAAGAAAAGGTAGATGACCTGACATCCGTTAAATGCTGTTAGCCAGTTGATATAAAGCTAGTTCACCCTTTGGGGCATTCTGTGGATATCACACATGTGTGAACAAAATAAACCAGCACAGTATTACTCTGTGATGAAAAGCATTGTAGACTTCCCTTGATATGTACACCTTATACTAAAAAAGAGAGAGATTGGACCATTTGAACTTGTTTGTAATTATATTTGAGTTTGCCACTTGGGTGTACGTGCATCCTCTGAAGCATGAAGAATGCAGTTGGTTGCTAAAACTGGGCCTAGCTTAGACTATTACCTAAGGATTCTATCAAAAATGCATGCAAAAAAATTTCACACAGGTTTGGACACGTAGCTGTTTAGTCCTTGGCACATGTCATGCAAGGATTAAACTACAGCCACAACTATCTGAATTGTAGAAATTGCCTTCTAAGATTATTATCCCATTGGCCATTTTTCAATATTTGTCAATATTTTTAAAGATTCTACTGTATTTACGATATGCTTCATCTAAAGCAGTGTTTTACAAACTTGGCACCTTTAGTATATGAGGACTTAAACTCTCCAGCCAGGACATTGTCCAGCTAAAAAGAATCATTTAATTTCATGGGATGCAGGTCATTTCATCAGATGCTTTTCCAGCATCCTTTTTTTTTAACCCAGATTTCTGATTGGACTGCCAGAATTGCAAAAAGCAACCCAACATTGGTTTCCCGTATCCAGATTGGAAAGACATTTGAAAATCGATCCATCTTCCTTCTTCAGGTATTAAAACCTTTTACAAGAAAATAAGCACAGAACAGATGAAATTGTGTTGAAAAACTCACCCTCCCAAATTCATCACCCGTATCTGGAGAGGATTCAAAGGATTATTTGATTAGTTCTAAAACTAGCAGATTACAGTGAGTCACTGGTCTCTTGCATTCAGAAGAGCCAAAAGCAAAGTTACAGTGATTTTATATAAATGTTGATCAAGTATTTCAGCCATGCATCTACACTAGCAGAAGATCCCAAATGTAGGAAACATTCTTTACATTTAATGAGGCATAATAGCCAGACAAAAAATTAACCAGAAAGAAGGAAGTGGGTATCCTTCCATGATGTGAAAACACTAGTTTTCTCTGAAAAGTTACATAGAATTTTTGGTATGACTTGCACCAAAGTTTTAATTGTTGTTACTTGAGAGATAACAAAATGTCCTCCTCTAGAGACATTGAATCTATTGCCTCCTCTGAATGTGTTAATTCCATAATCAATTGATCATCAATAGGCACAAATTAACACACTAAATTCCACTGTTAAAGATGTTGCAAGAGAAATACAGCAAAATACATGTATTTAGTAATACACAATTGTATTAGTAAGCATAATTAATTCAATCTGAGTTCTTCCAGCTCTCCACAATATGAAGTAACGTATCATGCTTAAGCTACCATGCAATTTGTTCAGTTTTAATTTAGTACTGTATTCCTCTAGTCCAATCATCTGATTAATAAATCATGGTTGGTTTATGGTTAAGAACACAATAATATTCCTTCTGTATGGAGGACCAATAAAATACTCCATACCGCATTATATTTTACATAACAGATGGGGTGTCAGGGTTCAAAATAGCATCCAAAATTAAATCAGAGTCCAAGGCAAAGTATTTCTCAAAGTTCCAATTTATTAAGAGAGTCACCTTGGCACATCTGGGAAAACCCGAATCNGAAGTTGTGAGAGCTTCATCACTGGAGGCTTTTAAGAACAGATTGGACTGCCATTTGTCAGATGGCAGTGGTGTAGGGTCTCCTGCTAGGGCGAGGGTTGGACTAGATCAGTGGTCTCCAACCTTGGCAACTTTAAGACCTGTGAACCTCAACTCCCAGAGTTCCTCAGCCACCTTTTCTGGCTGAGGAACTCTGGGAGTTAAAGTCCACAAGTCTTAAAGTTGCCAAGGTTGGAGACCACTGGACTAGATGACCTACAGTACAAGATCCCTTCCAACTCTGTTAAACTAGAGTTGGACCATGTTGTATTGGATCAGATCAACTCTTTCTTTTGATAAGGCTGAAAATTATTTCTTCAAGCTAAGCTTTTCTTTATATTGGAAGAAATTTCACTGCTGTAAATCGAAATATTTCTTGTAATGAAAATAACATCTCCCAGAGGTGATTTTTTCACTGCAACAGGTCATAAGGGAAAAAGATTAAACTCATCTTCCCAAATTCCTGTTGTTTCAATAATGTTTATCCTTCTCATGAGAGCTATTTACAGGTGTAAAAACAGTCACACAAAATTAACATTATTTAGAATTATTGCAGCTATGTGCTACATTAAGCCATAATGTAGCTTGCTTCATTGTGATTTAATGTAAGCATGAGTCTGGCCAATTATTCCTTATTCAAGCAAACCTGTTAAACAATTCATGATCTATTGTGATGGGTGAATCCAGGCATTGAAAAGTGGCGGAAAGGGCAGGAACCTTTTGCAGTCCCCAAATTTGTTTCAGAGGAATTCAGGTGTGCTGGGTATGTAGGTTGTTATATTTTGTGTTATCTTAGTTTCAGAAAAAGATAGATATAAAATTTGAATCTACCCAAAAATTAGAATACTCAGACAGCAGTAAAGGGCAACTGCTTATCTATTTGTTTTCTCTACTGCTTAGATTATTTAAAAAAATCATGAATTTGTGTCTTTTCTCAAACCCATCTCTTTTTACCTTTCTTTATAGAATTTGTGGTCTTTTGGTCATCTTCCTTGCCATGTTCTGAATCGGTCCCGATTTCTTTGAATTCATTTTCAACTGAGGTGTCCAGAATGGGACACCATAGTTGAGATTAGTCTGATTTCAGCAAAATAAAGTAAAAATATTGCTTTCTGAAGTTTAAAAATTATGCTTCTGTTGATTTAACCTAAAAATGTAGCCAGGTAATACTGTTTAGCTTTTGCATGTTTTAATTGTTTAAGGCTGTGTAGTCATAATCAACATGCAATTTTTGAAATCTTTTAAAGTCAGTCAGTTTCTCTGGTGATTCAGGGTCAACATGTTACTGCCTGCCTATTATTGACCAAAATTTTCCTGCCTGTTTTCAAGGCTGGAATTGAAGATATGTCTTTAATAAACTCGCATCCTAAAATTTTCTGTGATTTCAGATCATTACTCTCCAAATAGATCAAGAAAGTGGAACAATGCTGTGGACCGAAAAGTGTTAAAAATTGTTCTCTCATTCCCTGATCCATGTTCTTTTCAGACAGCATACACCAGTATAATTAGCATATATTTGTTTCAGTTTCTCAAAGCCTTTTTGGAGATGCTTCACCATCTTTCTCATTTTACATTATCTCTTTTGCCATGAATTTTCAGATTATTATCAAATTTCATGATGTGGAGATTCATGATATTTATTCACTTAACTTTAAAGGGCATAAAATTTAAATCTTCCCCAATATTTCACTTGCTTCAATCTCTTGGAGGAAGGACGGTTCCTCCACTTCCTTGACTAAAGAAAATCAATTTGTTTTTCTTGTTTTCTGCAATTTTCTGTCTCACCATCTCTGACCAAATCAAGCACTTTCTGAATCCTTACCACCATTGACATTTTTGACTATGCATTGACTGAATCCTGCTATCTTGAAATGACTACTCTTCCATGGGAAATTTCATTGTTTTGTTTTGAGTTAGTCAGCATTGCCCTCTGCTGGGTCTTGTTCTAAGCACACTGTTGTTAATTTTAATTTTTATTAAAAGGGATGGGGAGGAAATGGGGAGCTAAGGTGGTTGAGGTGGTGAACTTGTTCTCTGTGGAAGTCATTGTTTTTATTTATTTTGTTGGTTTAATTTCTTTTTGTGTAAGTATTTTTGTTTTATGTTTTTAATTCTAGGTACAGTTTCTTTTGTTCCTGGTTGGATTATTTTCATAATAATTCTTTGTAGCCATATATTATTTATCCGTATATCCACAATGCTACTTTTTAATGCTTTCAAGTGCGGCTTACTTTCTATGGTTTCTATGTATAATTATATTGTATTTAAATTTTTCATATGCTGAATTTAAGGATATTGAGTTGGAAAGTGAGAGGAATGCAAAACATCCTTAAATGTACAAAGATTCTATCTAGTTCTTTAAATATCTGATATTGTATTTTTGCAAGAATCTCATGTCAGAGAGGATGAAATATCTTTTTTCATCTGAAATAGGATGAGAAAGTATTTCATAACACTAGCAGTATTTTCAACTTAAGCATATTTTAATGGCTCAATATAGATCAGATACTTTGCCTACTTCAAAGGTATCTGAGATGCTATGGTTGATGGAATCCATAACAGAAACCCATAACATCTCTTNATCAAGAAGCAGTTAATTCAGAAGGACAAAAATAAGGCATTCTTGAATTTAACACTCCCGATATATTTCTAACGTAGTAGGAAATCTGTTGTTCTATATGCCTAGTAAATTTTAATCTAGTCAAGCCATGTGTTTGAAATTTCTACCAGGTTAAGGCCAAAAGTCAAGATAAACTGTGAAGTGTTTGGGATCAGTCTAATCAGGGAAACCTGACAGAACCAAAGCTTAGAGGGCCTTTTTGTATTTATAAGGTCTTCATTAGGGATATTTGTCTAATGGATGTGAGGATGCCTCTGTTCTTCCTGCATTCTTTTACAGAACACTTGAACAATTTTTTTATCTGAACTGCATAGCAAAGAGTTAACAACAGGGAAATCAGACTAGCAAATCAAAGCTTGCTCAACACACTGTCCTGCATTGCCTTTCTGTAGACAATTAATGCATTCCAATTTATATTAGTATAATATATAAATATATTAGTATTCTGTATGACAGTGGTTCCCAAACTTGGCAACTTTAAGACTTGTGGATTTCAACTCTCAGAATTCTCCAGCCAGCAGAGCCCACAAGTGAAAACATACAGACATATATATATGGATCAGATTGAAGTCCCTAAATAATTTTTGTCCAGCAGAATCGTTTCTGGAGAAAAAACCGTTCTAATGCATCCCGGAGTAACTGCATTGGTGTTGACATCAATAGGAACTTTGATGTTGCATGGAGTAGTAAGTAGCCTTTGTAACATTATGGATATCTACATGTTATTTTCATATGACTAATCCAGATGGCGTTTCAGTAAAATTACTTAGATTGCCGCTAGACCTTTAGAGCAAATCAAAAAAGTTGGATTGAAAATATCATGTTTAATGAATTTAGGAACTAAGACTGAGTAAATATTTCATTTTTTATTATCACCAAAGTTGTACTTTCATCAATTTCATGGAGATAAAAAGATAAAATAACAGGCCTTTATTTTTGTTACTCTTACAAAGCAGTACATACATTTTGGATATAATTCTTCAAATGTGACTCATAACAAAAGCACCATTTTAATGAAAATACTACAAGTGAAACTATATTTAGTGTGGAGAATAAATTGTAAACCGTAAAACATTAACTCTTTGCTCTTAATAGCAGTAAGACAAGTTATAAAACAACACTAGAAAGGATTAGGATCATGGTAGAATTTTAGACCTGCTCTTTATGGGGAAAATAAGCTTATTAACTAATATCATTGAAAAAAGATAGTGGAGAGAGTTTATTTTTATGCAGATAGGAATACTATCCCAAATATAAGAGATCCTCCATTAGGAATTTAGAAGAGGAAAATGAAATGTATTATAAAATTGCATACTTTATGTTTTCCTATGTAACTCAAATACCTATAACTGTTTTGACCTCCATACCAAGTCCTAAACGATGGAGGAAACTGTTTTAATATTTGTTATCATTGTACCATACATGGCATCAGTGTTGACACCCATTTCTTGACTTCTGTGAGAAGTATAAAACTCTGACTGTTATTCTTCCACTTCAGTTCTCTAAAGGAGATAAGGTAGCATTGTACACTTCCCAGAATCCTATTGCAATTTGTCACCAAAACTTAATGATGTAACTTGCCACTATTGGTCCAAAAACAAGCGCAACCTACACTTGCAGGATAATGCTAGGGAGAAAGGGAAAAAAGAGGCAAACTTCTAATTATTATATATGTAATAATATATGGAAATTGTATCCTATTAAATATTCTAGTACAATTGTCCAGTGTTATAGTTTTGCATAATAGTTAAACTATTTATAGCGTATATTCATATGGACATCTACTAGGAGTAATCCCTACTGAATTCATTGGTACCTACTTTTGAATAAACTTGGGGAGGAAAAAACCTTTGCAGTCAAATCTATTAGTTATTTGAACATGTTTAAATGGCTCATTTCTATTAATCAAATTAACAGTATAGGTCAGTGGAAAATGTTCTGATTCAAAGCAAACAAATAAACCTTTATCAGTAATCTCTGTGCTAGCCAGGGTCAACTTAACTGTGTAATAAAATGAAAGTGCTCTTTCCACCAACAGCTGCTGATTCTTCCAGAAATCCCTGTGAAGAAACATATTGTGGCTCTGCACCAGAATCTGAACCAGAAACTAAAGCAGTTGCCTCATTCATCCGCAGCCATCTTTCTTCAATCAAGGGCTACCTCACCATGCATTCCTACTCTCAGATGATATTGTTCCCTTTTGGTTATACCTATGAGAAGACAGCAAATTATAAAGAATTGGTATGAAGGCATTGCAATTGTCCTATTTCCTAACATTTCTAATTTGATTCTGTCTGCTTTGTGCTCAACCAATACAATTCTTTAGTGATCTTGAGATGGAATGTCATCTTGTGTATCTATCAAAGAAATTCACATCCAGAAAACCTAGGATTTCATTTGGCTTGTCATACCCACCAAAAATTAATACCAGATAGTTACATTTAATGTGATGAAAGAGGAGTATTTTTTAAATAAATGGCAATTGATTATATGAAAATTATTTGCATTACCTATCGATAAATTAAATCAAGTTTGATTTTTGCCCTGCCCCCAACTTACTTCTTTGTCTAAGAAGTTTAATCCCAAAATCCTACTCAAAAACCAAATGTGACTCTCAACCTGGAAAAAAGAATCAGCACTCCTTCAGCTTGAGTAGGAAAGGTGAGAAAGGCCCATCAGCATTTTCAATCACGTACGACACTTTTTCACCTGCAAAATATATCCAGAATGTACAAGCATGATGAAATCTGCATTTCTCAAAATTTTGATAGAATTCAAAATGTTCTTACAAAAATGGCACACCAGGAACTTTAGAACTACACACTAGTAGAACAAGCTAAAATTAGAACAATTCATAGGAATACTTGTGTGATTTTTTTTTTGCTGAATTCATAAGCAATGAATGAAAATGAAAAAAAAATAGATCAATAAGATGAAAAATTCAGTGAAGCATAATTGAGGTAAGCAAAATTCATCCAGGTGTTCAAGATTCTGTGACTCAAAAAAACATTTGGGAAGCTTACTTTTAAGACCTATGTATTTTGATCCAATTGATGCTAGCTTCTTCTTTGTTTGATACTAGAATGAACTTGCAAAAAGAGCTGTCAAAGCTATAGCCAGCCTGTATGGTAAAGAGTATAATTATGGAACATCAGCATCTACTATCTGTACGTATTTTACACATTGTCAAAACACATATTACATCCTTTATAAGTCATGCTGGATAGCAATAGGGCTTTCTTCCTCTGAGTAGAAAAAAAAACAGTAGCTTGGAGACGGAAAATACAGGTAGTCCTTAGTTAATGATCATTTCTTCAGCAACCATTTAAAGTTACACTAGTGCAGGGATCCTATGGCTGGTCCTTGACGTTGCTGCCATTACAGCATCGCTGCAATCAGAGATTGCTATTTGCAAGCTTCCGACAAGCAAAGTGAATGGAAAAGGCAAGTAGTTGCAAGTTGCAGTAAGTTGCAGTCACCTGACATTATGCTTAATGACACAATTCACTTAATAACCACAACCAGGACTGCCATCTTAAGATCACATGATTTTTCTCTTTACAACGTTGGCACTGGAGTTACCAATCTTAGTTATGATCATTTACTGAGGACTAACTGTACCATCTACAACATAGAAGATGTATTTTTTCAAAGAGCTGTTGGGTCTATGTTCTCACAAACCCAGTGCAATCTCTCTTGTAACTATGTGCAAATGAAGCCACCAAAAGAGTGACAAATAAGAAGAAGACCCAAACGTTTATGTATCCTGAAAAGAGCTCATCTTTAACTTTTTTGTGGGGGCACTAAATAAGGAAAGGAGAGGAAAAACAGATCAAGATGGCTAAAACAGATGCGGATCAAAAATGGAGTTAGTCAGTGAATGCATAAAAGTCGATGAGTGTAAATGCATGATATCTCTAAGAGATTAATAATAGATCAATCCCACATTACTGATTTCAGTAATGTTTATTTGTTTCTCTTTTAGAAATAAACAGGCAACTGAGACATAACAATAGANACGCCGGGTACTCGTATGTGGGCGTATCTGCATGTGGGCGGACCCGCCTGGATACGGATAGAGGAGTGGTATCTCGGTTCCTAAGACCATCGAAAATATGTGTTTTCCGATGGTCTTAGGCGACCCCTGTGAAAGGGTCGTTCGACCCCCAAAGGGGTTGCGACCCACAGGTTGAGAATCGCTGCTCTAGAGGCTAGTCTAGACAGTCATCAGGAGTCAAAAACCAACTTGAAGATGTATGCAGGCACACATACGCATACACACACACACATACACACACACAGAGGAGAGAGGGAGGGAAGGAGGGGGAGAAAGAGAGAGAGAGAGAGCTGAAATAAGAAGGTATATTGTCTATGTTCCTGTGATTTGAAATAAAACTGAAAATCTCTGTGAATTTTATCTTACTGACATCTGCAACTGTTAGTCACACAATTGCAATTTCTCCTGTTCTCCCCACCACTTCACCTTTTTTGGGGGGGTGTATTTTAGAAATGATTTGAAACTATGCTCAGTTGGCCATAAAAAGTTAGGAAAACAAAACAAAACTAACTTCTGGATTCCCCAAGGCAGTCCTGAAGTCTCAAGATGACGTTGATTCACCTTAGACATCTTCATAATTATGTATGACTAATTCTTAGATGGTCCAAATATCTTCATTGTAACTTGGCGCTTTGTCGAAAAAAGTTTTTCCGCACCGCTATTTTTGTTTCATTTAAGGTATTTTTAAACTGACCTCCCGCCAAAGGTAGCCAAAAGCCACTAGCAAAAATAAAACATAGTTCAACCATAACAAAGGTTACAATTTAGTCAGAATCAAATGAAATCAAAGCAACTAAATGAAAAATGGAACGTATTTCAAAACAAATCAGTACCAGAAAGGACACGCTCAACAATTTCAGACACTGACATTTGATAGCAGAAAATGGGATTGACAAAGAAGCAATGTAGAGACATTCCAAAATCTGGAGCACTGAAAATATCTTGCCTCCAGTCTTGAACCAGAGATTGGCAGAATATATAAATGACCCATCCAAAACATTGTAATGTTTGCCCACAGTAGACTTAAAGAGAAGGTGGTCACAATGGCAGGAAGGCCTACCATTGATATATGAGAGTATATAGAAGGAATATGTGATTTTTAAAAAAATAAAAGCAACCCCTCCCAAGCCTTTGTTAAGGTTTTTTTCTCTCATAGATGAAATATTTATTAAAAGTTAGTGAGTTCATTATTTTTGGCTTAATTGCTTCCAGTAAACTCCCACATACATAAATCTGAGCCAAATATTTCCAAGTTGTCTAGATGTGTTCTGTATTACTCATCCCTCCTATAAAATCTATTGATGTGTACATGATACACACACACACACACACACACACACACACACACACACACACATTAATTTAAGCAGCTGTGGATTGGAATACCTAAAAATATGTCCTCCCCTCCTCCTCCCACCCCCTTATCCACCCACCACTTTCGCTCCTCTTCAAGTAAGATCTACATCTGCTAAAGTCTTCAATGGGCTGGAAAGCTGAAACTGAAATAACGTTGTCAGCATTTTCAAAAAGAAATTAGATCCATCACATCCACAGCAGCAGCAAGTCAGCCTGAGACTTTCAATGTTTTTGGCCACTGAATATCCTTGACCTTGAATATCAGGTGAAGGGAGAAGATCTTTCGTCTGCAATTTTTTCAAGCCAACCAGCCTTTTGTTGTCTATCCCCACCCCCAAAGCTACTTCAACTAGTCGTTAAAACTTCTTTCACTAAGGATTGAAAGATACCTTCTTAAACTGTTTATCTAGAATTTGACAGAGTACAAAAGTACTTGGGAGCCTGCCCAAAGCAGAATGAAGGAGAATGATTATCTCGATCAGAAAGGTCAGCAGTTTGGCAGTTCGAATCCCTAGCGCCATGTAATGGAGTGAGCTCCCATTACTTGTCCCAGCTTCTGCCAACCTAGCAGTTCGAAAGCATGTAAAAATGCAAGTAGGAAAAAAAAAGGGACCACTTTGGTGGGAAGGTAACAGTGCTCTGTGCGCCTTTGGCATTTAGTCATGCTGGCTACATGACCACAGACACGTCTTTGGACAGTGCTGGCTCTTTGGTTTTGAAACCGAGATGAGCACTACCCCATAGAGTCGGGAATGACCAGCACATATGTGCGAGGGGAACCTTTTCCTTTAACCCATCACACTGCTGACTGGAGTTTACTTTAAGTACTGAATCAGATGTGGCTGGAACCAGTCACGAATTACCCAAAGTCAACTTCAGATAGTGATGTGGGTGGCATATAAGTTTAATAACTGAATACATATTCTCAGGCTATAAGCCCCTGATTTCATTGCAAAGGCAATCAATGGTTGCATTTGACGCTTCTTGTCGGCAGTAAAATTCTACTCTAGCCAAGTTGCAGCTGGAAGTCTTTTGCCAAGTCTAGTTATGAGATGAAATAAGAGTACAGAGATCTATGATGTACTGACAGGCTGTGGTGTGTAGTCAGACATTTACTTTGTGATGAACTATTATTCCAAGAACTTTTCACAAGTCCCATTACTAAGCCATATTATATTGAACTACATGGCAGCCCATTTAATATCCTATTCCAGTTCCAAGAACTGTCTCGAAATATATATTTATTTAGCTAGCCATGTACCTTTTTGTCCACATTTAATTAATCAGAATGTCATGTATTACTTTGTCAAATGCTTCCTTAAAATCTAGATAATCTATATACAATGCACACTGCAATGTGCTAAGAAAATTACATTCTTAAAAATGAAATAAATCTAGTCTGTGAAGATTTGTTTTTGAAATAAATCCATATATACATACTGCAGAGTAGAGAAAATGCCAAAAGTAGTTTATATGCTTCTATACAGGTAGTCCTCAACTGACAACCACACTTGAGGCCAAAATGTATGTTGCTAAGTGAGAAATTTGTTAAGTGAGTTTTGCCCCATTTTACAACATTCCTTGCCACATTTCTTAAGTGAATCATTACAGTTGTTAAATTAGTGACATGGTTGTTAAGTGAATCAGGCTTTCCCATTGACTTTGCTTGTCTGAAGGTTGCAAAAGATGATCACATGATCCTGGGACCCTGCAAGTATCATAAATATGAGTCTGTTGTCAAGCATCCAACATGTAAACCACATGACCATAGGAATGCTGCAACACCCAGTCGTAAGTGCAAAAAATGGTAATAAGTCACTTTTTTCAGTGCCATTGTCATTTTGAACGGTCACTAAGTGAACTGTTGTAAGTTGAGGACTCCCTATATTTAACATATGATGCAGGTTATCTATTAGAATTATCGGCTAAGGTTATTACATTCTATGCCTATGGACAGTTCTTCCTAATTAAGTCCCATTAAATGAAACTGGATCTGTCTACAGTTTTACAATACAATCATACATTGTTGGGCAGTAAATCCCATGATTTTGATCAGGTTACTTCTGTACTTATGTGTATAAATGGCAAGGACTTAATATAATGCATCTTTATCCATATTGCTTTCCTGCACCTACGTATACCAATATTAATATTTGGTCTGTAAACTGTTACATTTCATCATCTTATACCAGAGAGTTGGGATCTTTTGGGATACAGTGGCTTTGATATTCAGAGACATTAAAGGATAGCAGATTATATATCTATGTGAAATAGAAAAAGAGACAATGAAAATAGATCCTGAATGGGCAATATAATGTAAATCTGAATGGATTATCTGGGCAATATAATGTAAATCTTCTCTCTATATAAAAATGGCTGTGTGTGTGTGTGTGTGTGTGTGTGTGTGTGTGTGTGTGTGTGTGTGTTCCAGCATAACTCTGGAACCCCTCGAGCAATTTCAACCAAACTTGGTACACGGATGACTTACTCTCTATGATGGGTAACACTCCCCTAACACCCCTCAGGGTGTGTGTTCTGTTAAGATACAGCCTGTTGTGCCTTAAAATGACTTCTACTGTACTGCCATAAAATGGCTTTTACTGTGCAGCACAATGGAGTTGCCATGGTAATGGCTTCACAAATTACATTTGGTCCGGACATTTCTCCCCTATAAATAAATACCCAGGCAACGCTAGGTTATCGGCTAGTCAATTACAAAGTAATTAAGCAGTGGNTAGTATAGATCTATTTCAA